TTCTCTACCCACCATTCCCCTATGTCTACCCTTTCTCCTTAAATAGCACATATTCCATTATAATAATCACTCCTTTGCAAATCCCCACAAAGCCCTGGTGCGTCTCTCTCTCTGTAGTACTTCTTGGAAGTCTCCAGCTCCATGTAAGCTTAACTCCCAACAACCTCTTCACAAAATTAGTAGCCACAGAGCTTAAATGTCTATTCACCATGGCTTGGCAATCCCACTGCGTTTCCCTTGAATGGGTCATGTCCCACTCCTGAGAGGAGTTAGTCCTATTCTTCCCGAAACCTGAAATCCTCCCCTCCACTTCTGCTCTCCTTCAGCCAGTGACCTCACTTGATAATTTCAATGAAAAAGAAATGAAGCAACCAGGTGGAAGTTTCTTCACTCCCTGCTTCTGAGCCCGCCTTCTGCTTTCCTCTCTTGCTTGCTTTACTTGGCAGTGACATCTCCCAGCTTCTGTGAAAGGCTAAGCTCTCTACGCCGTACCCTCAAACCTATCTCTTCTTGCTTTTTCAGATACTTTTCTCCTGCAATAATATCTTCTGTACTGGCTTGTTCTCATCAACATGTACACATGTTTAAAAAAAGCCAATCAGGGGCTCCTGGGTGGCTCAGTGGGTTAAAAGCCTCCGCCTTCGGCTCAGGTCATGATCCCACGGTCCTGGGATCGAGCCCCTCATCAGGCTTGCTGCTCAGCAGGGACCCTGCTTCCCTTCCTCTCTCTCTGCCTGCCTCTCTGCCTACTTGTGATCTCTGTCAAATAAATAAATAAAATCTTTAAAAAAAAAAAATAAATAAATAAAAATAAAAACAAAAAAAGCCAATCATCTTTGCCCCAGATAACCTATCCCTACACTGTCCCATTTCTTGGCTCCTCTTCACAGCAAAACTTATGGAAACCATTTTGTAAACAACGGCTGCCAGCAGTTCCCCAATTCCTCCAATTCCTCACCTGTCTCCAATCTGGCTTCCCTTCACACTTCACTGAAATTGCTATTTTTAAGTGTCCATTTGTTTCTAAATATAACTGCTCATCTCTGTCCTTATCTTACCTGACCTCTAAAGCAGCATTCCACATGCTTGATCACCCCTTTCTCCCTGAATCAGATTTCTTCTTAGAGTGTTTGTGACACCACACTCCTCCGCATTTTCTGGCTATCTCCCTGAGTCCTACTTACGAGTTTTCTATAATGGGTTTTTCCTACTCAGCCTCTGAACATGGAAGCGTCCTGGTCCCCAGTCTTGACTCTCATCCCTCTCTATAGGTACAAACCTCATAACCTCTCCCTGGAGCTCAAGACTCATGTCCAGATATCTGCTTGGCATCATCTCTTGGCTGTTTCATAGACATCCTAACCTCTGTAAGTCCAAACAAAGCTCTTTCTTTCCCACCACATATGTGATCTCCTCTTGCCACCTTCCTCATCTCAGTAAAGGTCATCCACCAAGTGGCCACAGTTAACTTTGGTGAAACCCTTGATTCTCCGTCCCTCACCATCTGCTATTCGTCAGCAAGTCCTGCCAGTTCTGCCCTCAAAATCCATCCTAAGTGCTTGTAATTCTCCATCCCCTTTGCTCCCACCCTCATCCAAGCCGCCATGGTCTCCTGAGCTAGTGCACTGGCCTCCCTGCTCCCTCTTTTGTCTCTTGTAATGCATTCCCTAAGAGTGGCCGTAGTGATCTTTAGCATCTTACATCCAGTAATCCAGGACTTTCCCTTTGCACTGGAATAACACCTCAGCTCCTCACTGTGGCCCAGGCCCTGTGTGATCTGACACCGGTGCACCTGTCTGGCCTCATGATACTGCCCCCACTGGGGGTGCACTGGGGGCGCTTTACCTTAGGGTAGGGCACTTATTCTCATGTTCTCTGGACAGCTTTCTGGAGGAGAGGGTCGCTCCTTATCATTTAGGAGCAAACGTCACCTCCCCAGAGAAGCCCTCCCTGAATACCTTATTTGAAGAGGTGCCCTCCCAGTCTCTCCCCCTGTGTTTGTTCTCCTGGCACTTACCCTCCCTGAGGGAAGGGACCATGTCCAGCTTCTTCACATCTGTATTGCCCGTGCTTAGTGTAGTCATCAACCTTCAATAGAAACGAATCAATTTATTGAATATCTGAATGAAAAACTGTCTGGAACATTTCTCAGATTTTTGTCACACTGCTTCCGTCCCTCTTATTTGTACCATGACTGCCACCGGGAGCCGTAACAACGTGATTACTATTTCTAAAAGCAGTGACACCACAGTTTATGATTTCTCAGCCACGAGGCGCTGGGAAAAGCAGTTAACTAACCTCGTTAAGAACTGCGTGTGAGGGGCGCCTGGGTGGCTCAGTGGGTTAAGCCTCTGCCTTCGGCTCAGGTCATGGTCTCAGGGTCCTGGGGTCGAGCCCCGCATCGGGCTCTCTGCTCAGCAGGGCGCCTGCTTCCCTTCCTCTCTCTCTGCCTGCTTCTCTGCCTGCTTGTGATCTCTGTCTGTCAAATAAATAAATAAAATCTTAAAAAAAAAAAAAAAGAACTGCGTGTGAAGGGCGCCTGGGTGGCTCAGTTGGTTGGGTGACTGCCTTTGACTCAGGTCATGATCCCGGAGTTCTGGGCTCGAGTCTCTCATTGGACTTCTGTTCAGGGGAGAGTCTGCTACTCCCTCAGACCTTCCCCCTTTCGTGCTCCCTCTCTCTCTCTCATTCTCTCTCTCAAATAAATAAATAAAATCTGAAAAAAAAAAAAAAAACTGTGTGTGAAGAATGGGGGAATTTAGAAGTCGAGTCCAGCATTAGTGAGGGGGCATCATCCTCATTTATTTTCCAGTGAATATTATTGTCCTAGTTTCATGAATTTTGTTATTGGTACTGCCTCCCAGAGATGTCCAGAAGCTTGTCTGGTCAGAATCTTCAGCGTCACGGTCTGACAGGAAATAAAAGAGAAGTCAGATGTGCTCTGAGTCTTAATGACTGCTTGTTGGAGCCTGGGAAGGGAGGTCCGAGAGGTGAAGGGACAGCCAAGGCGGGCACCATTTTGCGTGTTGGGACTCTCTCTGAGCCTGTCTTTACGGACTCCAGGAGAGGGGGATGTGAAGGGGGATTGGTTTTATTTATTGTGGTAAAATATACATAACATAAAACGTCATATTTTAGCTATTTTAAAGGTACAGCGGCATTCAATATAATCATGTCATGCAACCATCACTGCTGTCCATCTCTAGAACTTTCCAAACTGAAAATCTGTACCCATGAAACAATTAACTCCCCATTCCCCCAACCCCTGGGAGCCTTTATTTGACTTTCAGTCTCTGGATTTGACAACTCCTGTTGAAGGAACCGCCTTCCTCCCGTGCCGCCTTCACTGTCAGCTCTCTCACTGAGGTAGGGTTTGTGGGGGCAGGTGTGGCCGGTTCCCATGTCACACAGCTGTGACACACCAGCTGGGTGTCCTACAGTTTGACTCCATTCTGACACCTTCTACCTGGAGTAGCATTAGATCCCACCGATTTCCGGGCTCAGTCCCATGAGGCTGACTCTGTGGGTGCCTTCAGATGACAGTTTCAAGTCCACATTGTTTCCTGTACTTTTGAGCGACCAGAGATCAGAGGTTCCTACAGTCTCCTCCTCGGGATAGATTAATTTGCCAGAGCAGCTCACAGAATTCAGGAAAACCTCTTACTACATCACTGGTTTATCATGAAGGATAACTCAGGAATGGCCAGATGGAAGAGACGCCCAAGACAAGGCATGTGGGAAGGGGAGCAGGCTTCCAGTCCCTTCCTGGGCCCCACTCTACCAGCACCTCCACTATGTTCACCAGCTGGGAAGCTTCTCAAACCCCTATCCCTTTGTGGTTTTAGGGAGGCTTCATTACATAGGCATCATTGATTAAATAATTAAATAATTAGCCATTGACAATTAGTTCAACTTCCGGTCCCTCTTCCCCTCCCCCAAGGGCGGGGCAGGGATCCTCCCTCCCGCATGGGTCTGAATGTTCCAACCCTAGTCTAATCATGGAGTTGGTTCCCCGGCAACCAGCCCCCATCTAAGGGGCTTTCCAAAAGTCACCTCATTAAATAAACTCAAGTGTGGTTGAAAGAGGCTTGTTATAAATAACAAAGGACACCCATTTCTCCTTTAATACTCTGAAGTTATTTCAGGAACCGGGATCAAAACTTAAATATCATAACCAAAGATGCCCCTATGACTCTTCTGTAGGAGATTACGGGGGTTTCAGGAACATCAAATACAGATTTCTTACTATAAATCACAATATCCCATCACAAGCAGAATCATACCATATTTGTCTTTTTTTGTCTGCTTATTTCTCTTAGCATAAGGTTAAGGTTCATCATGACCTCACTTGCCAAAAATCTCATTCCTTTTCAAGGCTGCATAATATTCTAGTGTGTGTATCTACCACATTTTCGTTCACCTTCATTTGACATCTGTGAGTAGTGCTGCCGTGAACGCTAGGGTGCAAATATCTGTTTGAATCTCTGCTTTCACTTCTTTTATGCATATACCCAGAAGTGGAATTACTGGATCAAATGGTAATTCTATGACCAATTTTTTAAGAAAAATGCTAAAGGGGCTTAAAACCCGTTAACTTATTGGTGAAAAGGACTATTCATTGATTGCCTCATATATGTCCTATAGTATATTAGGGCAGCAGAGAAATGGGAATGGATGGGTCACAGCTCCTTCTCTCAAGATCTATAAGGAGGGACGTGCCTAAATAAAAGTAGCTATTATATACCATATTTAGTGCTGTATTAAGATGTGTATTATGGGAGCATTTTATAATAATAGTGATTTCTAGTGTTTCTGAAGACAAAACCTCCTTGGATATTGTCCAGGATAGATGTTCTACCACACTGTGGTTAGTAGTGGGGGATGTGGTAGAGAGTTTCCAGTGTACAAGTTTTGGTTGTGCATTTGTATTTTTTTAATAGCTAAGAGTCCATCCACTTTTTCTGTGATCTAAATGTCTTTTCTGTTTTCTCTTCCTTTAGTGGTTTTTAATTGCCAACAGATCTTACAAAGTCAGTGCAGCGAGCTCTTTCTTCTTCAGTGGTGTGTTTGTGGGAGTCATCTCCTTTGGTCAGCTTTCAGATCGCTTTGGAAGGAAAAAAGTCTATCTCACAGGTAATCAGTTAAGAGTGTTCATGCACTGAATAGGAGGACTTAGTTCCTTAACGTTCTCCGGAAATTGCCATGTGGATACAGAACTGATTTTTAATACACTAGCAAGAGGCCGCACTGCAGCCAGAATTGATTCTGGCCACAGAATGTGGCCTGGGGAAGGCCACATATTTGCGTCTAAGCTTTTCAGAGATGATGGTCCTTTTGGCAACTCTGGAATTCTAACTTATGCCACATTTCTAAAGAGAACAGAGACTGAGCCAGTGTACGAGATCTGTTTCCTTGTATCTTGTCTGTTGGTTCATTTCAAATATGCTCTATAAGAACCAGCATAGTTCTTTTGACAAGCTGAGCATGAGCTGGGATTTTTCCATTTCCCACACTGTTGTGAATAATTGAAAAGTGTGCATGATTGACAGATTATCAACTTGCAACAAACAAAGATAAACCTTAGTTTTTCTTTATAGTTTTTAAGAGAAAATGTTTTTTTAAAAAGCATAGCTTAGAAAAATTTAAGTTTACAGAGATTTATCTTTACAGGTGTAAAGTCAGTATAATTTATTACTTTGATCAAATGTTGTTTTATGTCCGGGTTATTGACTGCTATTCCTCTAATTCTAGGTTTTGCTCTTGACATCTTATTTGCTATTGCAAATGGGTTTTCCCCCTCCTATGCCATCTTTGCAATAACTCGCTTCCTGGTGGGCGTGATGAACGGAGGAATGTCGCTGGTGGCTTTCGTCCTGCTGAACGAATGTGTGGGCACCGCCTACTGGGCACTTGCAGGTACTGCTTCACTCCGTGCGCATGACAGAGATGGCGAGCTGTCCCGGAAAACCTCGGCAGGGAGCCAGTTGAACCCCAGAGGCTAAAATGCACTTGGACTTGAGGTGCTCCGTCTCACCATTAGATCTGCTTTCCAAAGTTTGTTCTCTATGACCTTGAACAAGTCATTTTATTCATATCCCTCTGTAGACAGTCTCCCCTGAGGCCTGCCTCATAGATGGTGAGCTTGCCTCCAGATTGTTCCAGGAGTGTCATTTTCTTCAGAAGGATATTAACTGTTTACACCTTAAACTGAAAAGTGGCACAGACGTAAAAAAGCCTTGACGTTCCTTTCCCAGTGCCTTCTTACTGTATTTTATTAAATATTTATCTCCTGGGCAGGGGAGGGACAAGTTGGGAGGACCAGTTGATATAGGGCCAGTGCTAGGCCAAATAAGAAACTCATTTTTATTTGAAATGCAGTAAGAAGCCAGTGGGTGAATTAAATAGTGGAGCTATAGGATCAGATAGGATACAGATGGACAGCTGTGGCAAAGGTGTGGAGAATAGACCATCGGAGGAGGAAAAATTGAAGAGTCATAGAGGAGGTGGTTGTGGTTGGCCTGTGAAACACAATGGGGGCATGCTCAGACAGAGTGCGGGGAGAGGAGCAGGGAAGAGGGCCATGTGAGCTGGATTCTGGTGGGGCAGCGACTTGCTGAAGGGTCAGAGTGGGGAGAGAAAGAGGAATCAGCTGGACCTCATGGCTTTGCTTGCAACTGGGTGGATTGCTAGTACAATTTACGAAAATGAAGTCCAAGCTACCGAAATTTAGTTTTTACTAGTGTGAACGAAGCAAACATAGCAGACTTGAAAATGAAAGTGATCTAAAAGAAACAGGAAATCTGAAAAATAGGATCAATATCTAATAGCCTGTAAACAGAAGACCACCAGTGACACTCCAGAATTGTAACATGCAAAATGTGGTGATTTGAAATGTTCACTTAGTTAATTTTTTGACTAAATAACCTAGAGCCTTCCCACATCTGCATCTCCACACCACCTCTGTTGTCATTTCTAGGCAAACATGTGCAGCTTCTTGTTGGACATAAGATCTGAATATCGCTTGGACCCTCAAATAAAAAGTATTGCTTTCTTTCTCCTAACACCTTCACCTTCCGGGACCTTTGTCTGTGGTAATGTCATCACGGCATTTACGGTCATTAAAGGAGACGCCTTCTGCTCCTGTCCTCTTGTCTACCATACCCAGTCGATACCAACTCATACTGATTATAGGGGACAGAGCCTCAACTCTGATGAGCCTCTGTATATAAAGGGAAATTATGTGGTTAATATAACCAAACCCCTGAAGGTCCAGGCCTCAAAGATGCCCAGAACCAGGAAGTCCGATGCTTCTTGTCTCTGCCCCCGAGTCCTCCCTGAGAAGCTTTCTCTGCGCAGTCACGGATGGGCCCCTGTAGCCCTCAGCCCTTACTACCAAGTGTAGTATTTAAAATCCGGGCTCAGAGCTCGGACTAGCCCAGCCGAGGCCCTGCAGTGAGTGGAACTGTGATGGGCAGCCCCGTCTTGAACCACAGGGATAAAGGAAGGGGAGGTCCACTCTCTAGAAGAGGGAAAGGATATTCTTGGAATTAGATAGGGTGCTAGGTAGACAGTATCTTATAGTAGGTACTCACCCTGGGAGGCTTCCCAGTGGCTTTTTGGAGGGAGGGTAATAGATGGGTATAGACAGCTATACCCATATCACAGTAGGACAGTATAGCTAGTATTTGTATATTTGTATAGCAGGCATTATTTCATCCTAAACTAACAACTACCCTCTAGAAAACTGAGGCTCAGAGACATTTAGTGATTTGCCTGAGGTCACACAGCAGCAGGTGGCAGAACTAGGGTCTGAACTGATTCCTCTGGAACAGTCCCATTCTGTGGGCTATCTTCTTTTTGACTACGTTGTTGTCAGTGGATACCAAGTGCTCGGAGCTGTTCTGAGCAATGGCAGAAACTGTTATTCTTGGAAGCCAGGTGCTGTCTGATGCCCTGTAATGAAGCTGTAATAGCTATTGATTATCTTAAATTTCCAGGGAAATCATAGTATCCCCACTTCCTTCCTTATTGGACCACATGTTTGGATTTGGTGTGCTGAACATGCTGCCACTTCAGTCTCCCCTCTGCTCCCCCCTTCCCCTCACTAGGGCACAAAGTAGACATGTCATTATGGCTAGAGAATTGGTCATCCCTGGGCAAGAAACAAGAACACGTTTCTTTTATAGAATTCTTGTAGAAAGTTCTTGTAGCAAGATCAACAAGGTCCTATTGCTGTGCGTTCCCCACAGAAGCCTGCCGCTCCGTAGGAGGATGGAGAAGGAGGACGAGGACAGCTCGCAGGCTTGCCCCACCCTGCGCACAGCTCCGTGTCCTAGACAGCACCCCTGACCTCTCTGTGCTGTTTCCTCTTTGTGTATGGCTCTAACGGCACCTGTTTGTAGGACGACATATGTCAAAAGTGGAATGCACGATAAATGGTAGCGGGTACTGCTGCACACCGTGGTAGTAGCAGTTATAGAAAGTGAGTCAGAGGTATAAATTCACACATATATTGGGCAAGCCAGGGGGACTTAATACCCATCTCAGCATTTATTTAAAAAAAAAAAAAATTTCACAATCCCATGGGTGATTTTTTTTTTTTCCTCTAAGCCTGCTGGCAAAAATTCATGCTTTGTGGAGACAGACAAGAATCAGAGAGCTATAAAATGTCATGTATCTGGTGCTGATACACCCAATGGGGAAGGGCAGGAGGGAGAGCTGAGGAGGAGCCTGTGATTTAAGAGGATTTGATAAGATGAAGTCCCAGCATTTTGATAATCTCATGACCTAAAAACGGTCCGGCCAGCCAGCAAAGCATCTCTCCGAGCTTCAGCGCATGCGCGGGTGAACGTCAGCACAGCCTTTGGTGCGGAAAGCACTTGGGCAAACCCTTAAAATTCATCTTGACCATGTGTGGTTTGTGTTTTTCGCCTGTCCTTCCTCCTTTTCCCCTAACTCACTGGCCTCTCTGCCACTTTTCTCATCTGACAGTCGCTATGTGTGTAGGTTCTTTTCTGCTGACGCCCTTCCAGGAAGGCGTTGCCTCTGTGCCTCGGGTCGTCGGGAAGGGTGGTGTGGAAGGTGCTTTCCCCAGTAACAGGCGTCTTTTCCCGGACTTAGGGTCCATCGGTGGCCTCTTCTTCGCGGTCGGCATTGCCCAGTATGCCCTGTTGGGGTACTTCATCCGCTCCTGGAGGACCCTCGCCATTCTGGTGAACCTGCAGGGAACGGTGGTCTTCCTTCTGTCTTTGTGAGTAGTTTTTCCTCTTAGAGGTTTAATTTAAGACACGGAAGGAATGTCTTAAGAGGACGTGGGTCAATGAGCGGCGTTATTCCCTTTCCGGAGTTTGCCTGAACTGACCTTGGTGAAGAGCTGTCCCACAAGCGCCCCAGTGCCGGACAGCTGCTGGGAAGAGCTGCACCTTGATTAAATCAGGGCGCAGGTGTCCCTTGTGTCAAGTAACCTCTCCATAGCCTGCATTTTAACCTTCAAGTTATTGACTTGGTAAGCCTAAGGCCTCGAGCCTGAAGATCTTCAGGCTGGATCAGGTCAAGGGCTAGGCGTCTGGCTCAGCTGTGATGCTGTGGATATCGCAGTCCATTCGTGGCCTGTGTGTAGCTGTAACTGTCCATCCTTCAGGTGACTCTTACTTCAGGGCCTCTACTGTGGACACAGGAAGACTCTCAGATATGGGAGAAATCCTTTGGGTGGACGGGCTTAAAGCAGTAAAAGGGTGATTCCCTGGTCAGGGCAGGATGCTGCAAACAGCTCAGAGGTTACACCGTGGGGCTCTGAACACTATAAGGCAAGCCACCAACTTGGAACCCTTTTACCAGTTCTTTCTTCCCATAGCAAATACTTGATTAATAAGGTTATTAATAATGTTTGTTATATGATATGTATTACATAATATATAATAGAATGGTATTATTTATTAATATTCTTCCCTAAATAGCCTCAGGCTATTTAACAAATATAAAACAAATACTTAAGAGACATTTACAGAGTTCTTCATAAAATTAACATTAAATACTGACCATCTTGTTGGGGCCTAGAAGCCCAGTTTCAATCATAAATACTATACTACATTCTGATCTTTAGTCACAAAGAAGTAATACTATTCCATTTCTTATTTCATTATTTTAATGATGTTTTTAAGAAGTTTGACGTTTTAGGGGTGCCTGGGTGGCTCAGTAGGTTAAAGCCTCTGTCTTCGGCTCAGGTCATGATCCCAGGGTCCTGGGATCGAGCCCCACATCAGGCTCTCTGCGCAGCAGGGAGCCTGCTTCCTTTCCTCTCTCTCTGCCTGTCTCTCTGCCTACTTGTGATCTCTGTCTGTCAAATAAATAAATAAAATATTAAAAAAAAAAAAAAGAAGTTTGACGTTTTAGGAGCACCTGGGTGGCTCAGTCAGTTAAGCATCTGCCTTCAGCTCAGGTCATGGTCTCAGGGTCCTGGGATCGAGTTCCTCATCAGGCTCCCTGCTCCCCGCTTGTGTGCTCTCTCTCTCGCTCTCTCTCTCTTTTTCTCTCTAATAAATAAAATATTTAAAAGAAAAAGAAGTTTGAATTTTTAGTTTTATTTCACCAGAAGTTTTAATGTGCTTAAGAAGGGCTTTCTCCTGATGTATCAGACCTCTAATTTTAATCATTAAAATCTTGGGAATAAATAAAATCTTCAGAAGCTGGTACCAGCTTCTGTGCCATAAAGTGAGGGATATCTGTGGTAGAATTTTCCTTCAGATGCATCTTTAATGTAGTCATTCTTTATTTAAGTTCTACTAATTGAGATTTGGCAGATTGAAGATTGAACTGAAATTTGTTTTTGTATTCTCTTTGAAATAAGATAATTAAGTGCAAAAATGAGTATAATAGTAGGGTACCTGACTGGCTCAGTTGGAAGAGCATGAGACTCTTGATCTTGGGGTTGTGAGTTTGAGCCCCACGCTGGTTATAGAAATTACTTAAATAAATAAACTTTAAAGAATAAGTATAATAGAAATAGTTTACCTGTACTTAAAAAGCAAAATGTATTAAATGCATTTAGTTATATGAATTGGAATGAGATAATTCTACCATAAAGGGAAACTGACAACATTTTATTAGTTTGTGTATTACAAATTTTTGGAATAAATGGGTGCCTAGTATCATCCTTGAATTAATAAGCTGTCATGTAAACGTGGGTTAACAAATGAATTTTCTTTTTAAATAGCTCATAAGTCTCCTTTAGAGCAACTCTGATGGATGGCATGAGCTTTTCTGCCTGTCTTTTCTTTTCTTTTTTTTTTTTTTTAAGATTTTATTTATTTATTTGACAGAGAGAGAGATCATAAGAAGGCAGAGAGAGAGGAGGAAGCAAGCTCCCTGCCGAGCAGAGAGCCCGACTCGGGCCTCGATCCCAGGACCCTGAGACCATAACCCAACCCGAAGACAGAGGCTTAACCCACTGAGCCACCCAGGCACCCCTGCCTGTTTTTCTGAATGTGGTCTGACTTTGTTATGGCCCCAGTGCTGGGGGGGATATCCACACCCTGGGAAATGAATTCGGGTCAGGAAAAAATAGGAAATAGAGAAAAAAGAGCATGTGAACCTGAAATATATATATTTATTCCATTAGGCCTTCCAGTGGTCAGCCTGCAGTTTATTTCCTCTGATCGTGTCTCAGCCCATTTCCCATATCCTGTGTCCTGAGCACAGTGAGCTGCTTACGTTTTCTGGCATCAGCTTGTCCTGTCCTGCTTGCCTGCCTTGCCCTTCTCACTGCTGCCCCTGCCCTTCCCAGTTAACTCCTGGCCTTCCGGGTTTGCTCAAATGCCACCCCCTCCAAACTTCTCCCCATCGCCCCTCCAGCTGCCCGTCATTTGTTTTGGCTTCTGAATTCTCCAGCACTTACCCCACGCTCTTTGAGGGCTCTCTTTCCACCTCATGCTGGAGCCTGGCTCCCTCTGCACTAGGAGCTCCCTCCCTGGAGGCTGCTCAGCTCCGTCAACATGTCCCCCAGCACCGATGCCCAGGGCCTTCCACACGATGATCCTTCAGGTCCACTGGACAGGTGTGGGCACAAAAACAGCTGCAGTTAGCCTTCAGAAATAGCTTTCAGTAACATAAGAAAAAGTCATTATTTTAGGGTCCTACCTTTTTTTTTTTTATTTTACTAGAAACATTAGTGCGTAGTTTAAAAAATCCTCATTTTCACAATATATGGATTTAAACAGTTTTACTCTACTAATCAGAGCCCCATAATTTACAAAGATTTTCCACCTTCTGAGAAATTCACAGGACATGTTTTGAGTAGAGACAACATTGTTAAATTAGCCGTGTAGCTTCCGGAGATGGCCCTAGCACCATAAGTGGTCAGCATGTTCAAAGATTGCTCTTTCTTTTAAAAGCACGTCTTGCTGTTTGATATGCAGGATCAGCACGCGTTGGAATTTATACTCCCAAGTCCATCCGTGGGCAGCTGGGTGAGCCTTTGTGTAAGGGAGCTTCCTGGCTTCTCCAAGTGTGGGGATGTGTCAGGTCCTCCGTTCGTGTGCAAGACAGACCCTTTCCATGCAGAAATGGTTTAGTAACTCACATTTCCAAAGTGTGACTATCTCTCAAGTACAAAAGTGATTTATAAACATTTAACAGTAATGTAAACATTTATGTAACAGCAGTTTCTGAAAAGCAGAAAAGTTTCTGAAAGTTTCTGAAAGCAGGGAAGTTGGAGGGAAAGGGGGCAGTGAGCTAAATGACCCGAAGATCGTGACTGTTAGTATTTTGGCGGTTCCCTTGTCTCCTTTCTCTCACCTCCCCATCCCCCTTGGTTTTAATTTTTATTACGACAGACTTCTGGTGTCCCACTTCCTTTTCCCTCCCAGGGCTACTCTCTGTGCTCATCACAGTAGGCTTCTTTTATGTTCTTTATTCGCACTTAGAGTCCAGCACATGGTTTACATGGTGGCTGGTCAGCTGCCTGGTGAATAGGGCCAGTGGTTCCACTGGTTGATCGGCCGACCTGACTTCCAGCTGAACACTATTTTGCTTGATTATCTGCTTGTGTATTAGTAACAATAATCGAATGGTAATGAAGCCGTAAATCAAGGGATTTTTTTAGGCTGTCGTAGAAGGTCTGTGGCCCTGCTTTTGTTGACGACCAGATGTGCACGAATGTTCTCTCCCCAGCAGCAAAGCTCTGGGAGGATTCCTGCCTTCTTGTTTCCTCTGAGCACCCACTACATTGCTGGATACAGAATGAAAGTGCTCAGTAAGTGGTTCTTGATGGACTGGCTGTCCACGAAGTTCCAAATTCCATGGTATTTGTCGCCACGTCACTATGCCTATGGGAAGGCATGGAGAATTCTAGAAGGCATCTTCAGTGGCCAGTGGTACTCATAGATAGAAGCTTCATGTTAAGCAAATAATGTCACATTAGATCAAAAGGTACTCGAAGCTATATTTAATAAACGAGGTGTCGCTGTTCCTGTCCCCGTTTGTCTTTGACAAGTCCTCTAGCCATGTACAGAGAAGTGTGCAGAGGAAAAGGGCATATCAGAGAGCCAAGTGTTAAAACTACTGGAAAATATTAGTGGCAATATAACTGTTCAATACTTCGTAGTTGTAGCAGAAAATGATTATTTGGTACCTGGAGGTTAACCAGAAGATGACTTTAATTCTTTAAGGCCTTAGGGGCAGGAAATACCCTGAGGACATTTTTTTTTTAAAGACCCATTTATTCAGCGTCATGATCAGACTATTACATTTAGCAATCAACAGCATGGGTGCAAAAAATATATATACATTAAAACCCTTTGTTGGAATGCTTTACACTTTCCACAGAACAGAAACTAAAATAACCTGTTATACAATTAGTCACAAATACAGTCCTTGAGTTTTTTTGCCCATACACATGAGTATTGTCTAAAACATGTCTTCTTTGTAGCAGCTAGTCCCTGCCACCACTGTGCTTGGCTGAGTTCACAAATCTGTTGTAACCTGTAGCTTCCCTGTCACTTCTCTGGCTCTCCTCTCCTGCTAAGCTTTGTTTCCTGGCAGTAATTAAAACCTTCTGCCACTGCCATAGCTGCTGCTGCTGCTGGAACCACCATAGCCATCTTGGTTTCGTGGTTTGGCGAAGTATTGGCCTCCACCACCATAAGGGCCAGAGCTTCTGCCTCCAAAATTGCCTCCTTTCATGGGTCCAAAATTTGAGGATTGATTATTGTAATTGCCAAAATCATTATAGCTTCTGCCACCTCCAAAGCTGCTTCCATCATTACCAAATCCGTTATAGCCATCCCCACTGCCACCATATCCACCACCACCTCGACTGCCACCAAAGCCACCTCGACCACTGAAGTTTCCCTCCACGACCAAAGTTGTCATTCCCACCAAAACCACCTCCATGACCACCACCAAAGTTTCCAGAACCACTTTGACCTCTTTGGCTGGATGAAGCACTAGCCATCTCTTGCTTAGAGAGCGCTTTCCTTACTTCACAGTTGTGGCCATTCACAGTATGGTATTTTTGAATGACAATCTTGTCTACAGAATCATGGTCATCCAATGTTACAAAAGCAAAACCCCTCTTTTTGCCACTGCCTCGGTCAGTCATGATCTCAATCACTTCGATTTTCCCATACTGTTCGAAATAATCTCTTAGATGATGTTCTTCAGTGTCTTCTTTAATGCCACCAACAAAAATCTTTTTCACAGTTAAGTGGGCACCAGGTCTTTGAGAATCTTCTCTTGAGACAGCCCTCTTTGGTTCCACAACTCTTCCATCCACCTTGTGTGGCCTTGCATTCATGGCTGCATCCACCTCCTCCACAGTGGCATATGTGACAAACCCAAAGCCTCTGGAGCGCTTGGTGTTTGGGTCTCTCATTACCACACAGTCCGTAAGTGTTCCCCATTGCTCAAAATGGCTCCTCAGACTCTCATCGGTTGTTTCAAAGCTCAGACCTCTGATGAAGAGCTTCCGCAGCTGTTCAGGCTCTTTGGGAGACTCTGACTTAGACATGACGGTGGCGGGAGGGGAGACTTTAATGATGCTTACTCGGCGGCATCCACGGGCAGAAAAGCACCCTGAGGACATATTAAAGTGAGATGTCAACCGATTCGAGCATTCTGAAGCAGGAAATGCTTGAAAGTAGTTGAGATGTGATGAACCCTGTTTGATTTTATTAGAGTCTTAAAATAATCTCTGCTTTCTTAATAACATATTGCTACGTTAAAATCATGTTTTAAAAATAATTTTTTCTGACGAGACAATAAAAATTATCTTCTTTATGAGGCTTTGTCAGAACTTAAACACCTGCCATCTCTGTAGTAGTATTCTTACACTTGGCTAGGGCTCAAGGACCCTCTCTCTGACCCGTGCTTTGTGAAAAATTTGTGTCACTCAGTATTTGAGCCTTAACTTGCCATTCATCTATTTAAATTTGTTTAAAAGGAAACGCATACTGCTTACTTGATTTGTTTATTTGTTTTTTGTTTTGTTTTTTACTGTTTTCGAAGTATGTTCTTGGTTTCCTTTCATAAAGCCGCTGCCTTTTAGCCCCGGCATGCTGTTGAAAGTGGCCCCTCTGTCTTTCACCTGTCACTGGGAGAGGTAGTTTTAACGCTCACAAGGAATCCGGTTGTGGTGAGGGAGTCCGCATACTCCTAGGCGAATTGTCTCCTTCCTGTATGAATATACAGCTTTTACTGACGTCTCTTTCAGATTCATTCCTGAATCACCTCGTTGGTTATACTCCCAGGGTCGACTGAGTGAGGCTGAAGCTGCTCTGTACCTCATTGCCAGGAGGAACCGCAAGCTCAAGTGTACGTTCTCACTAACCTACCCGGCCAGCAAGAGCCACAGAGAGACCGGAAGCTTCCTGGATCTGTTCCGTTACCGCATCCTCTTGGGGCACACGCTGACCCTGATGTTCATCTGGTAATTATTCCCGAGGGGTATTGTCCCAATCTTCAACTCAGGTTGCTAAAGAGCTGTTGATGATGTGTTCCTTCTCCAGGCTCACAGAAAATTTTACCTGATTTGTCAGCTTGAAGTGGTTTTCTCAAGAACAGGTCCTCTGCCTCTTGACGCCCGTGTCGCACTCCACTCCACTTTCATGGTACCCTCTTGGTCGAGGAGGGACCCACGGTTTACAGATGGCAGGTTTACTGAACTTGAGTAAATAGATAGCAGAAACACATCTTTGCTCCTGAGCTCTTTCATGTAAATATTTAAGTACCCACACAACCAGCCTCCCCGTCCCCCAGCCAAAAAGAGGAAAGCAAGCCTATTAGAAGAATTTCTTTTTTTTTTTAAACTTTTTTTTTTAATTTTTTTTTAAAGATTTTTTTAATTTTTATTGATTTGACAGAGAGAGATCACAAGTAGACATAGAGGCAGGCAGAGAGAGAGAGAGAGGGGGGGAAGCAGGCTCCCTGCTGAGCAGAGAGCCCGATGTGGGACTCGATCCCAGGACCCTGAGATCATGACCTGAGCCGAAGGCAGCAGCTTAACCCACTGAGCCACCCAGGCGCCCCATATTAGAAGAATTTCTAAGTAGGAATTTACAGTACCTACCTTTGGTTTTAGCATCAAGCTGGTGGGCTAGCACGCTCCAGTTGTCATGCCCCGTCCTGTACTCTGTGTGGCATTTTCACTCGCTCGCTCACTCCCCGGGGGGTGGGCAGTATAGTTGCTTGTACAAATGGAGTCCCGGGAGTGTGAAATGATGGACTGCAAGCCACCTGTGCAAATCAGGGCGTGAACAGATAGTCTCTGAATCTGATTTTCTCGCTTAGCTTATTCCTACCCGCCTCTCAACATGCTCTCATCATTCGCGTGAATCGCACCGACGGGTTCAAGGTGACTCTGCTTAAAGAATGAAGTGGAAAGGGAAGAAAGTGGATGGGCGATTCATACGGGGCATGACGTGCCCGTGTGTGGTCGTACCGTGTAGGCGCTCTGCGTTTTACTGCGCTTCTCTGATACTCTGTGTTTCATGGTTGAAGGTTTGCGGCAACCCTGCATCGAGCGAGTCTGCTGGCACCATTTTCCAACAGTATTTGCTCCCTTCGTGACTCTGTGTCACATTTTGTTAATCCTCGCAATATTTCAAACTTTTTCATTAGTATTCTGTTTGTCATGGTGATCTGTGATCAGTCATCCTTGGGGTTACTATTATAATTGTTCGGGGATACCACGAAGCACATCTGTATATGACAGTGAACTTAATAAATGTTGTGTGGGTTCTGACTGTTCCACTGACTGCCCATTTCCCTAGCTCTGTCCCTCTTTGGGGCCTCTCCATTCCTGGAGACACAACAATATCAGAATTAGGCCAGTTAAATTAGGCCTACCATGGTCTTTCTGTGTTCAAGTGAGAAGAACAGTCACATGTCTCTCACTGCAAATCAAAAACTAGAAATGGCCCAGCTTATCAAGGAAGACATGTTAAAAGCCAAAGATAGGCCAAAAGCTAGGCTTCTTGCACCAAACAATTGGCCAAGTTATGCATCAAAGAAAAGTTCTTAAAGGCAATGAAAAGCATTACTCTAGTGAACACATGGATGATTAAAAACTAAACAGCCTTATTGCTGATATATTAGGAGACAGTTCTCCTAATGTTTGGTTAAAACATCAAACCAGCCACAACATTCCCCTAAGCCAGAGTCTGATCCAGAGCCAGGACCTAACTCTCTTCGATTCTGTGAAGGCTGAGGTGGGGAGGGAGGCTGCAGAAAGAGAGACTGAAGTTCACAGAGTTTGGTCCACGAAGTTGAAGGAAATAAGCCGTATCTGTAACAGAGAAGCGCAAGGTGAAGCAGCAAGTACTGATGTGGCAGCTGCAGCGGGTTCTCCAGAAGATCCAGCTCAGAGAACCCATGAAGCTGGTTCCACTGAACAGCTTTCCGTGTCGGTGAAACAGCCTTCTTTTGGAAGAAGATGCCATGTAGGACTTCTATAGTCAGAGAAGAGGAGTCAGTACATGGACAGTCCGACACTCTCCACAGGGGCTGATGCCGCTGGTGACTTAAAGTGGAAGCCAGCGCTCACCGACCGTGAGCACGCTAGGGCCTGTGCTCTCTACGGGGAACAACAAAGCCTGGATGGCAGCACATCTGTTTACAAATATTTGAAGCCCACTATTGAGACTGACTGCTCAGAAAAAAAAACGATTCCTTTCAAAATATTACTGCTCACTGAAAATACACGTGGGTGCCCAGGAGCCCTGAGGGAGATGGCCAATGAGATGAATACGGTTTTCATGCCCCCCCAACACGTCTGTTCTGCAGCCTGTGGATGAAGGAGTCATTTCAACTTTCTAAACTTATGATTTAAGACATACACTCTGTAAGGGTTTGGGTGCCAGAGATAGTGATTCCTTCGATGGACCTGGTCAGAGTTCATTGGAAACCTTCTGGAAAAGATTCATCATTCTAGATGCCATTGAGAACATTCGTGTTTCATAGGAAGAGGTCAGAATATCCACATTAACAGGAGTTTGGAAGAAGTTGATTCCAGCTCTCGTGGCTGACTTGGAGGGGTTCGAGACTTCAGTGGAGGGAGTAACTGAAGATGTGATGGAAGCAGCAAGAGAACGAGAATGACAAGTGGACCCTGAAGACAGGACTGAACTGCTGTGATCTCATGATCGAACTTGCACGGATGAAGAGTCACCTTCTTACGGATGAGCAAAGAAAGTGGTTTCTGGAGACGGAATCTACTCCTGCTGTGAAGACTGTTGCAATGGCAGCATCGCGTTTAGAGTATTACTTTGTTGACAAAGCAGCAGCAGGGTTTGAGAGGACTGACTCCAATTCTCAGAGAAGTCCTTACCGAACAGCATCACATGCTACAGAGAAATCGCTCATGAAAGGAAGAATCCGTCAACGCGGCAAACTTCAGTCTTGTCTCATTTTAAGGAATTGCCTCAGCCACCGCAACCTTCAGCAACCAGCACCCTGCTCAGCCAGCAGACGGCAGCGAGGCCAGACCGTCCACCAGCAAAAAGATGATGACTCGCTGAAAGCCCACATGGTGGGTAGCATTTTTTAGCAATAATATATTTTGAATTAAAGTATCTACGTTGTTTTTTAAGACACAATGCTTTTACACACTTAACAGACTACAATATAGTATATGCATAACTTCCCTATGCACTGGGAAACCAAAATATTCACCTGACTTGCTCTACTGTAATACTCACTTGATTGCAGTGGTCTAGAACCCACAGTATCTCCTAGGTATGCCCGTCCATTGTGCTCGGTTGCCGTAGATTGGGCCCAGGATTGGGTGTGAACAGCATATTTACCAGCTCGAAGGACTGTCTTGCTGTGGTTGGCATGTATTTGCCATGCAGGCTGCGTAGAAACCTACATTTTCATGTGGGGATTAAGGAGAATCATTTTATATGAAAGTGATCTTCAATGTAAACCTGTTGAAAACAGCAGATGGACAGGATGAAGCTGTGAATATATTTTGCTGTATCGTGATTCTCCTTTTCCACCCAGCCAGGCATGGCTGCCACCTCTAGTGATTAGGGGCCAGGGCATTCCCTCTGCCGCCTTCCCCACAGACCCAGCACCGTGCTGGAATATCCGAGATGCAGAAGAAATGTGGAACAGAGGACTCACGGTTGGAGACATGGAGATTAGGGGAACTTTGAAAAGCCAGACCTGAAAACCCAGTGTAGGAGCTTCTCCTCTGGGTTCGGCTTATTCCAGACATTTACATAATATATTCAGGTGCTTTGGGCTCCATAAAACTCTGCATTTGCATGTCATATAGACAGTCAAACCCTCTGCCTACTTCTTGAGGATAATTTACTTCTTGTGTTTAGGTTTTTGGGGGTTTTTTGTTTTTTGTTTTTTTGACGCAGATTAACTTTTGGATTCTGGCCTCCAGGGGATAAAAAACAGACAAACAAAGTAGACTGGGAACCAGGGAGAACATCCGTTTATTTTCTTTCTTACACAGCCAAAGGAGTTCTTCTCAAATGAACCTCTTCCCCCTGGGCTCCAAATGCTAAAATACACAATTATAGAGACAGTGTCATTCCACATAACGGCTGTTGTTTTTGAAGATGCTATAAAATTCTGAAGTCTTTTCTGTGGGTCTACCCTTGAAGGCAGCCCTTACCTGGGAGTAAAATGGTACCTCTGCAGCTCACATCTGTTCCTTTGGTTATTTCCCATACTAGTTCCTTTTTAAATAGTTCTTTGATGCCTTAACTATACTGTTAAATATTATGGAGGCATTCTAAATTTTGCTTGGGGCCCGTAAGAAGGATTGAAATGATTTTAATAGCTGTAATTACGCATCCCAATGACCAACTTGCCATTAAGGAACCTCGCGAGCGGAGTCCCTGCCTTGGGACCATCGGCCCATGCTCCCCCCGTGCTCACCCACTACTAGCAGCTTCTGCTCACCTCTCGTGTCCTAAACTGGTTTTATTTGTGCCTGAGTTGCTACCATCCCAGCTGTGTTTAAATATGTGTGTTTCCACGGCTGGAACTACTTCACTGGGATTTCTCTTTGATTGATTGATTGATTGATGATTGATTGAGCATGTGCGAGAGTGAGCTTGGAGAGGGTGGATAGAGGGGCAGAGAGAAAGAGAGAGAGAGAATCCCAGGATGCAGGGCTCGATCTCAAGAGCCTGAGATCAAGACCTGAGCTAAAATCAAGAGTTGGATGCTTAACCCACTGAGCCCCCCACCCCCACCCCCGGTGCTTTCTATCTTAAGTGCAGAGTAGACACACACTGCTGCATACAATGCACAGCAGAGGAGGATGTCTACTGCGGGAAGATAGGATTTTTAAAATACTTTAGAAAGCTGCATGGATTTATATTTGTTTAGCTTGCTGCTTGCAGACAAGGTAGATGCTACAGGCAAAACAGCTCAGTGTCACCTTGCATCCTTACACATGATGTCATGGCTCCGACACCGCTCATCATCCTTAGTACACGAGTGACAGCTCCACGCAGTGAGCTATAATGGGACGTAGCTGCTACAGCCAGCTGTTTGCCAGGGAGGGATGCCCCTCTAAGCAGTCCAGCTCCAGAGGTCCCTCTCCTCTCCTCCCATCCCTCTCCTGCTCACTGCAGCGCCTTCTTAATAGCCCAGGGCACCTGGCCCATTTGGCCGTTTTGGCAAGATGGAGAGAAAGCTTTCCCCTCTCCTGTTTGATCTCGTCGTAGCAACAGCTCATCCAATATTTTCTAAAGAAAACAAAAGGGAAGCCGATGGAAACTTCTCTGTAATAAACACCCATCAGGTGAATTGCAAAAATGTGAAAACTGATGGACTTCCAAAGCCTGTAGTACGTTGTATAAGAATGTGTGGTTTGGGGGACGCCTGGGTGGCTCAGTGGGTTAAGCCGCTGCCTTCAGCTCAGGTCATGATTCTGGGGTCCTGGGATCGAGTCCCGCATTGGGCTCCTTGCTTGGCAGGGAGCCTGCTTCCTCCTCTCTCTCGCCTGCCTCTCTGCCTGCTTGTGTGTACTCTCTCTGACAAATAAATAAATAAAATCTTTAAAAAAAAAAAAAAAAGAATGTGTGGTTTCCAGAATACATCTATAGAACAGCAAAGCCTACTTTTGGTGGTTTGTTTCTGTTTGTTATGTTCTGTTTCATTTTGTTTTTAATAATTCAGTTTTCTAGGCACAGGTGTTTGTCTTCTTCTCTTCCCTCTGCTTGAGAAAGCCGGGGCCTGGAGCTTCAGGGTGGCATTTTGGTCGGCTTACAACCCCTTCCCCCAGCTGCTTTGTTCCTGGCCCAGTGCCTGCGACCTGGGAGCCTATCCCCAAGTGTTGCAGAAACAGCATGCAGAAATAAACGGATGGTTTCTCCGAAGGTCCTTTCTCAGCCAACCCTCCTGGAGGATCCTGCCTCCGCTGGGCTCCCGGTCTTCTCTTTCCTGTCTGGGTGGGTCGAGAACCTGGTCAGGGGGTTGGAGGGCCAGTCATCTCTGGCCTGCAGGTGACCATCTGGTCACTTCTCAGCGCATGCTCTCAACACCACGCCCTGCTGGCTTTCCCCTCGGGAGCTCTTTCCTAGAGTCTTTTGGTCACCTGTGGCCAGTATTTATAAACTGCTGGATTAAATGAAGCGAGAAAAGTCATTGTCTTCTGCTAAATGCAGCTGTGCTTGATGGAAGGACAGTTGATGTCTGCACTCTTCCAGGAGTAGCCACTCATCTGCTTTAGAGAGTGTCTAGGCGTCACTCAACCACTTCCAAGGTCCCTAGAATACATTTAGATTGGGATGGAAAGGTCAGTGGGAACGTCAAGCAGATTGCTTAAGACAGATGACATTATACTGAACCAGTGACTGGACCTTCTCCGGCAGATTCTCACATGCTTTTCCTGTTGGCCTTCTTGTCTTTCACCCCAACTGCAGGTTCGTGTGCAGCTTGGTGTATTACGGCCTCACTCTGAGTGCAGGGGATCTCGGCGGAAATATTTATGCCAACCTGGCCCTGTCTGGCCTCATAGAGATTCCGTCTTACCCTATCTGCATCTACTTGATTAACCAGAAATGGTGAGTAGAATTGAGTATGGAGGGCCCCACATAGGATCACACTCTCATATCCATAAATACCTAAGTATCATTGTCTTTGTCCACAGGCAGTATCCGCTCAGCACTCCAGGGTGATTAGAATTCTTTTCAGACCAAATGCAGTTGGAATTCACTTTTTAGTGTGGTATCGCTTGGGTTTCATATTTATGCAGGTTTTCAATCCAGTATTAAAAGGCACTACCACCGGGTTTTGGATAGTCTGCGGGTAGTCAGTTATCCCCAAGAGAAAGGATTATTGGCTCTGTATAGATGGAGCTCGGTTGACCCAGCCCCTATCATGTAGAGGTTCTTACACAAGCACAGAATTGGAGGACCTGAAAAGTCTTTTCTTACCTCTTAAGACCCACTCGACTTCAATGAGGGGAGGAATTCACCCTGCTTTTGCTACTTATTCGTGGGGTAGCTTACAATACTTTTTAAAAGAATTCTCTTTTATAGAGAACTCCATTTCCTCAGTTTCCCTATTAGGTCGCTTCTGTTACTGAGCCCTGACCACGGCAACTGAAAATCCCATTCAGTGTGAATCAGCTGGATTGTGCTGTTCCCCGTTCCCCAGAAATCATCATTTTCAGCCAAACAGCATTCCTTTTGCACTACCCCTGGGGCTGTTGTCATGGGTGGTGGGCTCAGGGCATTATGAAGGGCGGGTGTAGAATCTGTTCAGCTTTCCTCTGGGGGCAGTCCCGGTCGTCTGTGCTGCTCCTCTGTTAAGGATTGAGCTTGCTGTCACCACGGTCCAAGAGCCGAGTCAGGCTGCATATTCAGAAATCTGTCCCCATCACCTCCAGTGAGCCAGACGCCCCTCCCTTGTGTTGTCACAGCTTCCTTGCCCACCTCTGAGGACCCCTTACAAAGGATTTAGAAGGGTGTCGTCCTGGGGAGCAGCCTCTCTGGCTTTGCATCCCCCATGCCCACCTGGCGTGGCACCTGTCCACTGGAAGGTTCTCAGTACTGATGTTAGATGAGGCACAATGACCCGGAGACCCACGTGTTGTCCTGTCTCCCAGCCGCTACCACTGAATTCAGATCTAGTCTCAGCCACGTGTTACTTTGATGACTTTGACAGATGATGGCTTCGACAGGTAAGCTTCTGCGCACTTATCCCTAAACTTGGGCTTCTAAAATTCCCTGGCAGAATTATTATACAGGTTACAAGTACTGTGGCAGTTCCTAAAGGGGACCTGGCAAGTCACAGGCCCCTATTGAAGGGAGGCTCGTTAATGCCGGTGCTTTTCATCCAAGCCTCCAGCAATTCTTTGAAAATTAGTTCCCTTGATGAAGTATGCAGTACATGTCATTTAATTCTGACATACTCACAAGAAATTTTTTTTTTCAGTTTGTATTTTTAAGAGAGAGAGCCTTGTTTTACAGTGTTTAAAATTTGCAATGACATGGATAGCACTAGAGGTTATTATGCTAAGGGAAGTAAGTCAGTCAGAGAAAGACAATTGTATGATTTCACTCATATGTGGAATTTAAGACACGAAACAGATGAACATAGCGGAAGGGAAGGAAAAATGAAACAAGATGAAATCAAAGACTCTTAATCATAGGAAACAAACTGAGAGTTGCTGGAGGGGAGCGGGTGGGGAGGGAGGGATGGGATAATCGGCGGATGGACATTCAAGAGGGCACTTGAGAGAATGAGCACTGGGTGTTGTATGCAGCTGACGAATCACTGACCTCTGCCTCTGAAACTATTAATACGCTATATGTTAATTTATTGATTTTAAATAAAATTTTAAAAATGAACTGCCAGAGATTCAGGTCACGAGAAGAAGTGAGCTAAAGACCCAGTTCTCCATGGTTCATTTTCATTCTCTGGAAGATGGAGAGCACAGCGCATGCCTTACAGGTTTATTGTGAGGACTAAGTAAGATGGAAAGCATTCAGCACCGCCTGGCACATGGTGAACCCTCACAGAAGTTGGTAGAATGATTTCTGTGTTTTTTTCCCCGCACACATCATTCGATCCTGCCATCCGGCCAGTTTTCCCCGGTTTTGTGATGGCTCCGTATTTGATGTCCTGGTCAGTCACATCTGCCACCCATTCCTTAAGCAATGATAAGCATATATAATGAAAGCAGGGACATTTCAGGAAGAAGGTTCAGGAGACAAAGCAGATGAATTTATAAGATCCTCAAGAGAAATGTGTAACGTCTTTCTGTTGTTTAGGTTTGGTCGGAAGCGGACATTAGCGGCGTTTCTGTGCCTAGGAGGACTGGCTTGTCTTATTATAATGTTTCTTCCAGAAAAGAAAGGTATGCCTTCCAGATTTCTACAGAAGGGTTTTGAACAGCACTTTTATTACAATGAATCTCAATATAGTAGAGAGATTACCATATGCCATGCTTCATTTCTGTGATTGCATATTATTTAGCGATTGTGTGGGCTATAATGGGCCAGATTCTTCCCATTGCCTGAACTATTCTCTGGGTGAATAATGTGCTTAGAGGTGCACTATTAATTCTTTCAGGCGATTAAGCTACCATCTGGGGTGTCTGGACTGCAGCACTGGTGATGCTAGAGTTGTTTATTTGATGATGAGGAGGACCATTTAGCTCTGCAGAGGGAGAAGCTCCGTCCAGAGCTACAGATTTGCACACTCTATTTTAGCCAATCATAGATCAGAGGTCAGAGTCCCTGGTTCTCAGAGGCAGCTTTGGCACCCTGGGCATATCCAGCTATACCCCTGGGACCCCCCCCCCCCATCATAACAGCAGCCACAGTAAGAGTGCTGTTCTCTGTTGGTGACAACAGACATGTTCCCAGTCTTTTTTAAACTGTGAACAAAACATCTTTAGAAAACTCTGGTATTTTTATATATTTGTAGCTTTGCTGTGCATTCTTATCTAACTTGACTTCTGCCCCTCTGTAGAAATTATGTTAGAGAAGGATGGTTCTCAACCTTTTTTTATTTTATTTTATTTATTTATTTGACAGAGAGAGAGAGAGATCACAAGTAGGCAGAGAGGCAGGCAGAGAGAAAGGGGGAAGCAGGCTCCCTGCTGAGCAGAGAGCCTGATGCGGGGCTCTATCCCAGGACCCTGAGATCCTGACCTGAGCTGAAGGCAGAGGCTTAACCCACTGAGCCACCCAGGCACCCCTCAGCCTTTTTTTTTTCCCCCTTTTTTTGCACTAGCACACCTGACACATACAAGCTGTCTTGTCAAAACCTGAGTTGACCAGTGATTTCCAACAGTGTGGAATGGGTCATAACGAACACATTGCTCCTGGGGCTCTGTGGGAGGGGGGGCTTAGGGATCTTAAGAAGTCTCCATCCCGGAGCTTTTACTTCAGGTGGGAATCACTGTGAGGTATTTTCATGGAAGGTTTGACAGCTGCTCAGAACAGAGCTGGAGAACTTACATCCCGACCCATCATATCACATAGGAAACTCTCCCTTGGTCGTTGCTTCTCACCAAAGACCCCAAGGCTATGTGTTCTGGTTCTGTAGCTCCTGGTACACTGTGCTGCCAGTCGCCACCTCAAGTTCTATGCCTTGAGCCCAGAGGGAGGTTTGTTCACTACCATGGATGTGACCCGTATGTAGCACAGCCTTGTGTGATGTTCATGGAATCACACACACTAGAGGATATAAGTTTGCCCATTTGTGATTCTCTAAAGAAATTGTTACATCTGCTAATGCCAGAAAAGGGAGAGTCCTCTGCTCTTGCCTTGGTGTGGGCTTGTAGAAGCAAGGGCCTGGTTCTCTTTGTCTGACAGACCACAGCAGGCTTCAAATCATCATAGCTTTATTTTTTTAATACATTTATTTATTTATTTGGTACAGGGAGTGTGTGTGTGTGTGAGAGAGAGAGAGAGAGAGAAAGAGAAAGCACGAGTGGGGGGCAGAGGGAAAAGGAGAAGCAGACTCCCCACTGAGCAGAGAGCCCAACACGGGGCTCAAACCCACGACCCTGGGATCATGACCTGAGCCAAAGGCAGATGCTCAACCCAGGCACCCCAAAATCATCATAGCTTTAGATTCAGATTTTGTTTTTCACAGACAACCTGGAAATCCCATTGTTTTTATCTGTCATAGGCCAGTTCTAGTTGTCACCTTGTAGACAAAACTTTCTTCTTGTTGCCATAAGCATCCCTGGAACCTGTCACCCCTCTGCCAGCAGGGCCAGTTCATGTCTCTCCCCCTCCCACATAGCTGTGCACTGCGGGGAACCAGCCCACCGCCCAACACTCTGCACATGGTGCTTTCTGCAAAAGCCCACAGTGGAAGCAGGGGTATGGTCTCAGCCAGTCCTGGCCTCACTCTGCTCATGTGTGGTTGGTTGGGGTTTGTTTTTGTTTTGTTTTTTTTTAAGATTTTATTTATTTATTTGATAGACAGAGATCACAAGTAGGCAGAGAGACAGGCAGAGAGGGAGAGAGAGAGAGAGAGAGAGGAGGAAGCAGGCTCCCTGCCGAGCAGAGAGCCGGATGTGGGGCTCGATCCAGGACCCTGAGACCATGACCTGAGCCGAAGGCAGAGGCTTTAACCCACTGAGCCACCCAGGCCTCCCTACGTATGGTTGGTTTTAAGAGAGAAATTCGAGTGAGCCCTTTGTTGATGGTGCCCCCTAGGTGGACATGGAGTGAGGAGGGCTCCAGGAGGATGCCTCCACGGCATGTACCTCTGTTATACTTAGAAAAGTGGATGTCGAGTCTATTTTTAAAGATTTCCAGGAAAAGAAATCGCACTATATCCTTAGAAAATTGTTTCTGTTTTTAATAGCCATGAGAACGGGCCTCTTCCGCCACAACTGAGCTTCGTCACTAGAGACAGAGATGACCACCACCATCCCCCGCCTTTTTTTTGCATAATCCTTTCTATATTTTCTGAGAGTCAACTATTCCTGAATCTTCTCTTCTTTGAGCTGAAAAATTTGTTCCTTAAACTTTCTTTGAAGCTTTCATATTTACTCCTTAAAGCATGTCAGTGGCTCTCTTTTAAATCTCAGTGTGTTCAAAGTTCTGAGCCTTAAGCTACTTCTTACAAAAGTTCTGATAAATATATATTAGGAAAGAGACCTAGTAGTTTGAAAAATTCTATTAGCATCATCTTCTCAGTGCTTTTTGTACCTGTTTTCCCTCACTTTTCCCCACCAAACACACCTTCACTCTCTTTCTGCCAACATAGGTGTCCCAGTCCCTGCCAGCTTTTTTTTTGGTACCTGTGTTTGATTGTGGTTCTCTGTGTCTGAGGCGCAGACAGACATACAGGTACACCTCTAGAAGAAACCACAAGTCAGCTAGTAAACACATTGTTTGGCATTCCTCAGGCTGTGGTTTATAATTATTAGGCAAAGCATCCTGCCCAGTACATATTCGCACATTGGTTGGCCTCCAAGTGAATGTTCTCCCTGGGGGTAGTATTACCAGGTGGCCACTAATATTTTTGTAGAGATTTCTCATCATTCATTTTGATTTCTATCCTTGCTTAAAGGATCCTGATTAAACCTCCAATACTATCATTTCTGAAGAGTTGACTATATACTGGGTTCTCCTCATATACAGAAGATACTACATATTACCCGCATTTGATGAGAAAACTAAAGTTCACATAGGTCAAGCAACTTGTCTATGTTGGCACAGCAAGGAGGCAGCACACTTAGGATTCAGATTTCAGGTCTGTCTGACTTTACAATCTGTGCTGTTTGGGGAATGCTATTTTTGCCCTCTTAGAGTTTTATAGCCAAAGTATTCACTGCACATGGTGAGGCTGTTGTCTTAGAAAATTAATGCTGCCTAATTAGAGCCACTTCTGAACTCTTCAGTAGACAGGTCTGTTGGGAATTGTCCAGGGTTCAAGGACTTGGGCTGTCAGAGTGATGCTGGGCTCTTGTCGGCAAGGAGGTTCGTGGCAGCGGTGATCCTGCCAGAGACTGACTACTGGGGAGTCACAGCACACGACCAGATCAGCAAGTTTCACAGTGGAAAGAGTGTCCTCAGACTCTACTCCCAGCACCTTTATATCTCATTTCTTTTATCAACCTTGGTCTGCCCATTCTTGAGTCACTTGATTTCTCTGGTGCCCCTGTAGGAAGGACCCTATTCATAAACAAGACCTAGTTCCTGGACTCAAAGAGCTTGCAATCTGGTGAAGAAAATGAGTGATCAGAGAAAAACAACAACAACAATAAAAGTCAGGAGATACTGTATGAGAATTGACCACAAAATGCCATGGGGACTTTAACTTCAGACCATGATCATAATGGAGACCGGCTATCCTCCTGCCTTAAGTATAAAACCAGAGAAAATAAAAAGAAGTACTGATTTTCATACACGGGACAATAGGCTGCCCAGGACAGACAGTGATCCCCGAGTGCTCCCTGTGACCTCGCTCAGTGTCTCTGAATCACAGTGCAAGGACGGGGAGCCCAGCAAATCCTGGTGCTTTCCTAATTTCAGAAGACAGTAATATTAAAACTTGAAGAGACCAAGGTTTCTAGAATTTCCTAGAAAATATACTGGAGAGGAATAAGATACACAGAGGAAGAACTGCAGAGATTTGCAGAAGGGGCCTCCGAGTCTTCTGGCTGCTTCCTGATCTGTGCATGCGTTTGAGGAAGCTACAGAGGCTACTGAGGCCAGAGTGAGAGGACCGCCAGGAAGCAGCATTCAGGACAAATCATGGAACCCAAGGCCATGCCTACATTGCGTTCTTTTCAGCCAGATGTGCTCCTCTGGGTAGAGACCTCCTGGGTCAAAGAAGCCCCACACCAAAGACTGTTCTCTGCTTGCGCTCAAAGTGTTTTAAAAAGCTCAGAAGGATAAAGTGATCCCAAGTAACTTAACTGCATCCCAGAATAAGGAGCAACAGTATTTAAAGAAATATGATAAAATCCAGCACCTAGCAGTGTAACATCCACAGTGTATGGCATCCTGCCAGTATTACCAGGCAGGAAAATACCACGTATGATCAGGAGACATGGTAATAGAAACAAAACCAGAAATGACCCAGACGATAGAAGGAGGAGATAAGAACTTTAATAAAACAGCTATTATCAATATATTCCGTGTTTAAGAAGAGAGAGGAAAGCATGATCATGAACAGAGTAACAGAGGCTATAAAAGACACATGTGTGACATCTAGAGATGAAACATACATTGCATGAAAAACAATTCAGTGGATGAGATTAGTTACAGAAGATCAGTGAAAGCCATAACAAAAGAAAGTACACAAGGGGCACCTGGGTGGCTCAGAAGACACCCCTGCCTTCAGCTCAGCTCATGATCTCCCAGTCCTGGGATCTGGAGCCCC